AATACCAATTTATTTACCGTATTCAATTTGGCCAGATTGTTTGCATAAACACAACAAGAATGGTAACTGACTTTCTTTGCTGGAATTTCATGATTGAATCTTAATGTGCCCCGTAGGGCCAGGAAGCCAAGCCATCCAGCTGCCATCAGGCCCACCTGCAGTATCTGCTGAGTTAGGTGAATCCCTCACCTGTAGCAACTCCACCTGAGCCCACACTCTAGGCTTTAAGTCCCATCTCAGTAGCCCTCCTACTCGTTGCGACCCAGAGTGTGTGGGGGTTCTGCAGGGATGCAGAGGCATCCTTATTGTTCCCCTTCTACTCTGTCCAACCACCAGTGATGGTAGGGCATGGGACTGACGCTCCAGCGCCAGCCATCTTCACGGCTCCCAAGCAGGATACCAGGCTTTTCCAGTGGCACTCTTATTGGCTTCAAGTCTTCAGAGCTTAGACACGTTTCTTTAAAACATGATACTCCAGTCAAAGTTTCCGGTTAATAAAATCACTATTGAAAACCGGTCTTATTGATTTTCATGCAAAGAAATGTATTGCCATGACTTATTAAGCATTGCCAGATTTCAGAGGAATTATATAAGGAGAAAAACATACTGATCTGCTCTAGGATTTTCTGATTTTCCTTGCCAGTCCTTTTTCATGGATTTTTCAGAGTTATAACAAAATAGTAACTGTTATATTTCTTTTATCAGTCCCCCATAACTACTTTGGTATAACTATTTACCCTCCTTTTAGGGAGGCAGAATGTAAATTATTTACTCTCTCTGGCTAACTGGCCTGTACTATTTGATTAATTTCCTTTTAATATTTCTCTTTTCCTTTTTATCACGTACACAACCTTTATAAATTTTATACTTTCAAACCAGACTTTAAATCGTCTCTCCATGTCCTTCAAAAATTCATAACCATGCCTCAGATCTTCTATTCCAACAGGCCTTTCCTAGTTTTCTACAGTTGAGATTTGTACTACTCCTGACATGGGCATGGTCACTCAGGTCTGAAAGACAGTATACAAGCTGCCAACTGTTAGCTGTTTCTTAATAGAGACCAAAATCTGATGGGTATTTTTCTTTGCCCAGTTGGGCACTTGCCCTCTTGGCAGCCAGACACCCTCTACTCTTGGGGTTCCCCCGACACAGTCATTCAGCCTTCAGCCTTAAATATTTTTTTGTAGACTTCCATATTTACGTGAATAAATATTTATACCTAAGTAGACATATAAACATTAAATAAACCCACATTTACACCTTATCAGTGAACAAGTATTTTACAGTCTTGGGAATTTTGGCAGATAACAGGAACACTGCCCAAGTCCCCTGATGGGGGCCTGACAAGAACAGATGTGGAGGCCTTTGGCTGGGGCGTATAAAGTCTCCATTCTTCCTCTCTCGGCACTGCTAAGGACAGGATCATTGGAGAGGTCTCTTCACCTAGGCAAGGCTGTGCTGAGCCATCTGGGGAAAAAGTGGTTTCTGCTTCCATTAGAGGGACCAGGTCAACTGGTAAATATAGGAATTCATGAACCACTTAATGGCCGCCTAACTGACATCGGTGGGGGCGGCAGAACAGTCTGCAGCTGTGGTACCGGTAGCTCCAATCATGGTGACTTCCTGTCCTGAGAGGGGAGCTACCTTCTGAGTAACTACCGAGTGCTCTGTCACTGTATCAATCATAAAGTTCACAGTCTGGCCCCTGATCTTCATTTTGACCATCGGCTCATGGGGGCCCAGTTGGAAAAAGCCCAGTCTGTCCTAGTCAGAGTCAGCTGTTGCCAGTCCAAGGAGGTCTGCCTCAGGTGGCTCTGGCCAATAGCGGCTGGGTGGTTTGGATGGCCTTGCCAGCTTCTTCTGGCCTGCTACTAAACTTTACTCTGTCCCTTACACACGCAGAACTGGACCCAAGGCAGCGAGGTTTGAGCAATTTTAAAATTCCTTAACATACATTTTATCATTCATGTTGCAGGGAGGGACCGGGTTGGCTCCTCCTGAATAAAAGAACTAATCAAAATAAGGCTTATTTTCTAACTTCATTTGTCCCTGGGTGTGGACAACAAATGACACTAATCAGATTAAATGACACTAATCAGATTGACATAAACAATTTAACCTTTGTTTAGGGAGACCCAAGCGTCATTGGTTTAGGGAAGATAGGATTTCTGACACACTGGTTGATGGGAATGAGGTAGCATTCATCAGTGTTACCCAGTCTTGTAAATCTCCACTGGCATGGGTAAGGAAGAAGGGAAAGAGAGAACTAGATTATGGAGGTGGTGAACTATATTTTTGGAAAAGATGGTGATTAGGAAAAAAATTTAAACATGCCAAAATATATTTGAATTACCTTTGAAGTTGTGCCTCTGGGAATGAAGCTGTGTGAGAGAAGTGTTGCTCAAGGAACTATGTGCAGTAGATTGTGAAAAGTGATGGCCTCAACACCCTGGGATTGGGGTCAAGAGGGTGATTTGTGATGCCATGTTTTTGGTGTCTTAGAGGAACAATCGTAGGGACATTAAGGCTATTTCCTGAGAAGATCAGTATCAAATCACTCACACTCTCTCTATGGCCAACATCCCTCTCTAGCCTATGCTTTTGACTCCCACTGTATTATAAGAGGCAGTGTGGCATACATGGGAGGTCCAGAGCTCAGGTATCTTCTATCTGCTCAACTGTCTTAGTTGTTGTGGGAAGAAAAATATCAGCAGGAAAATAAGAAGACAGTGGCTTTCATGGGATGAAGACCTGGTATTTTCTCTGATGTGTAGTGTGAAAAGAGCGATGGGTGTGGAGGGTGGCGAGTATGACAGACTTACAATCTTAGGAGTGAATCTGATCATGGGCTGTACTGTCCCCATTATGACAGGATGTAAATTTTGAGGACGTGGCCATTGCCTTCTCTCAGGAGGAGTGGGGGCTCCTTGATGAGGCTCAGAGACTTCTGTACTGCGATGTGATGCAGGAAGTTTTTGCCCTTGTATCATCTGTAGGTAAGACCTTCACATTTTCCCAGTGTCCTGAGGTGATGCCCTCTCTTCCTTTATTCCTCAGCCGTAGCCAGAACATTGCCTCTGCTAATTTTTCCCGCTTTCCTGTCAAACGTGCTGTGGCTCCCAGGGATGAGCTGGATGGGGAACCCTGAGCAAAGGACTCCACGAACATCACTAACACCCGTAACCTCAAAAAGTGCAAGAAGTGTTAGGGAGTCAGGAGTTTTGCATTGAGCTTAATGGGTCCCAGCTTGCACTTTCTCTTCTTGGGAGGCTTACAGTGTCCGCATGCATGGCTTCAACTTCTGCACTCTTTCTCTAGGTAAGGGTTCTTTGTGGCAGCTTGTGTCATGTTATGGTCTTTATTTACATGAACCATGGGCTGTTCTTGTAAGGCCCCCATTCAATTCTTTGTTATATTTTCTTCCCTGAATAATATAGCAAGCTGTGTTGCTCTGGCCAAGTGCTGACTGCTCACTTCTTCATCACCTATTTCTCTGCATTGGTGCCACTACAGTATTCTGCAACATTGACTTGCACATGTGTTATGACATGCACATACATGCTAAGTAATCCTCAAAACCAGCTACTCTTTTATTGAATTTTACTTGGAATAAGATGGAGCCAAAACCTTGCACAGCTTGTCCCAGTCCCCAGCAGGCAAGCTGTGCTGAATTTTGTTAGTTGAAAGATTAGCTGGAGATCCATATTCTAATCCATGTGGTGCTTGCCATGTTTGTGTCATATTTCTGCTGAGGCCTTCCTATTTTGTGATCTTCATTAGCCCAGAAAGTCACAAGAGCCTCTTGTTAATCCTTTCTGCACATCTCATATTTTCAGACAATTGCATGGAACCAATTTGTGTGTGTAACACACTCTTGTAACCAGACTTCCCCCTGTCACCACATTCAACATTCATTTCCTCACCATTTCTCACTTTTCAGGTTGTTGGCATAAAATGGAAGGTGAGGAGGCCTGTTGTGATGACAGTGTATCTATACGAGGAGAGTCACAAGTAAGGGCATCTAAGAAAGCTGCAGACACCCAGAAGACCCATCTGTGTAAGCGCTGTTTCTCTGTGCTACAACATATTTTTCACCTGACTGGGTCACATGCAGCATACTTTGAGCAGAAAGCCTTCTGTACTGATGCATGTCTTGGAGACTTCTATTTTAGTGCAAACCCTCACCAGGAACAGAGGAATGAATGTGGGGAGGTGCCCTGGAAACAAGCTATGATCAGGGCATCCTATGTGAGCAGGTGCAGCGTCTACTTATCTTCGGTGCCTTCAACCAGCAGGGAGGTTGGGGAAGACTTGCAATGCAACTCAGAGCTTCCCCAGCACCAGGCCATTCTCAAAACTGAGGAGCTACCCTTTGGCAGTGAGATTTCACAGGAATTTCTTGATAAAAAAAGTCATCACCACTGGGGTGACTGTGAAAATGCTGCCAGCCACAACCTGAAAGTTGTTCAATGTCAGGGTGCATATTCTGGAGAAATGATTTATAAGTGTAACAAATGTAGGAAAGTTTTTAGGCGAATCTTTAACATCATTGGATATAAGAGAGTTCACCCTAGAGAACAGCCCTATCTGTGTAGTGAATGAGGGAAGTCCTTTCATCGAAGGGCTCACCTCACTGTACACCTCAGAGTTCACACTGGAGAGAAGCCGTATGAGTGTACTGAATGTGGAAAGTCCTTCAGTGAAAGAGGTACACTCATTAAACACCAGAGAGTTCACGCTGGAGAGAAGCCATATGAGTGTACTGAATGTGGGAAGTCTTTTAGCCAAAAATCTAACCTTATTAGACATCTCAGAGTTCACACTGGAGAGAAGCCATATGAATGTACTGAATGTGGAAAATTCTTCAGTGAAAGAAGTACACTCATTAAACACCAGAGTGTTCACACTGGAGAGAAGCCATATGTGTGTACTGAATGTTGGAAGTCTTTTCGCAAAAAATCTGAGCTTATTAATCATCTGAGAGTTCACACTGGAGAGAAGCCATATGCGTGTACTGAGTGTGGAAAGTCTTTTTGTGAAAAATCTAAGCTTATTAAACATCTGAGAGTTCACAGTGGAGAGAACCCACATGAGTGTACTGAATGTGGGAAGTCTTTTAGCCAAAAAGCTAGCCTTATTAGACATCTCAGAGTTCACACTGGAGAGAAGCCATATGAATGTACTGAATGTGGAAAGTTCTTCAGTGAAAGAAGTACACTCATTAAACACCAGAGAGTTCACACTGGAGAGAAGCCATATGAGTGTACTGAATGTGGAAAGTTCTTCAGTGAAAGAAGTACACTCATTAAACACCAGAGAGTTCACACTGGAGAGAAGCCATATGAATGTACTGAATGTGGGAAATCCTTCCATGTGAGGAGCACACTCATTAAACACCAGAGAGTTCACACCGGAGAGAAGCCGTATGAGTGTACTGAATGTGGGAAGTCTCTTAGCCAAAAATCTAACCTTATTAGCCATCTGAGAGTTCACACTGCAGAGAAGCCATATCAGTGTACTGAATGTGAGAAGTCCTTCAGTGAAAGAATTAAACTCATTAAACACCAGAGAGTTCACACTGGAAAGAAGCCATATGAGTGTACTGAATGTGGGAAGTGTTTTTGAGAAAAATCTAGTCTTATTAAACATCTGAGAGGTCACAGTGGAGAGAAGTGTTAAATTTGCACAGAATGTTTTATTTTATTCACTTGAATAATAACACTGAAGGCCACTATTTGGGAACTATTTTCCGGAATTTAAACCCTTTTAATGGGACATACACTGTACTGGATTCCGCATAAGTTTCCAATACAACTGAGGCTTGAAGGAGTGCATTGCAATGGTAACATGCACAGATCTTCTACCCGATTGATTTGTGGCTGAAGAGATTTCCCCTCTACCACCTGGCTCACCTGAAGACTGTGTATCAGTCCCAACCCTTGTGTGCTCAGGGGAAATGTATTCTGTGTTCTCTCTTGTGCTTGAGAACATTATGATTATTCCAGCTCCTGACAGGATCTTCATTCCTTTATCTCTGTGGAGGTAATGCACCTGACCCAGGGTTCATCCAGGGCACCCGTCCTCAACTAAGAAGTGCTGCCTCTTTCAGGGATATGTGCTTCTCACATTATGCTGTGATGAATTGTTCCAGGTGTTGATTCCCCAACCTGGGAACCACTTGCTGTCCTCTGTCTGGTTTATGATCTTTTAGTACAGGTGTTTTTCTTTTGTACTTTTAATTATTTTGGTTATATTCAATTCCAGGGATGATTGTCAAGCACAGTTATGATCTATCATCATAGAGTTAACAGATATT